AATCTCCTGAATAGCTGCATCCAAGGTAGAAAGTGGATGCCGATGTAACAAAGAGGCACGAACTGCCTCATACTCTGGACGCAAAGCCATCAAGACCTGAATGAGGCGAAGATGATCAGGACTGATCTCTGCTTGATCCAACCGATGCCAAAGGGGTTGCACTTGGGCAAGGAAGTTGTTGATAGATTGTCCTGGTTCCTGTTTTAGATCGTGGAGAGTGCTCCATAACTGATAATAGTGTGCCAAACCAGTAGCACGGAAGCGGACTGCCAAGAAATCCCACGCTGCCTTGGCAGTGTCAAATTGGGCAAGCTGAACATGGATCGCCAGAATGGAAGTATTGCGCAACCAAGTGAGAATTTGATGGTTCTTACTATCCCAATCCTCCAATTTTTCAATATAAGATTCAACAACTGTGGCGGTAGGCGTAACTTCTCCTATAGAAACCGGAGCAATGGGGGCAACTATATCTCCCGTAACAATTCGCCACAATTTCCGACCTATCAAAAAACTTTTCATCGATTGTGCCCACAAACTGTAATTATCTCCGGACAGAACAACATTGATCGGAATATGTACATCCATCTTTTCCGTAGAAACTCAAGAGAAAACAATATCTCAAACCTCAAGCCGAAAGCCGAAACGACAGAAACCGAATCAAACCCGAAACACAAAAAGTCAACCGGATACAAAAAACTGTTCAAACGGAAGAAGTGAAGATACCATCGCGGAGGAAATCAAATTTCGAACATGACGGTGCAAAGATCGCCGCCAACGGCCGCCGCACGGTCGGAAATATGCTATTTGGAATGCGTGGGTTGTTTCGATTTGGTCGGGAAAAAGCATGGCTCTGATACCATGTTACGATTTATGGAATAAACTCTATTTTCATTGAATCCCAATTAGGGTACAATATTATATTTATACCAGAGATATATTAGGTAGGATATATATATAAATATATACAATATATATATCAACAATTAGAAAAATAAATCATCGATCAAATAAACCTGTTATGATATAGAGATTTGACTTTGCAACACTACTTTTGAAGAAACCTTCAGTATCAAAATAAAAAGGACAATTAAGTTTTAACTCCACCAATATCCATTTATAAAAGATATGCCCAACGATTTCATGTAACTGGATGAAAATATCCCCAAACCAATGAAAATCCAATATGTATATGAAAGTATCTGATATTATAAAGTAAAGCTTAGATACCGAAATTGATGCGTACGTTTTCGGAACTGGATCTGCTACATGATTTGCCATTTTGTGACAGTGCTGGAAGACAAACGTGATAGCGTTGATGACGTAGACGAAGATGAAAGAGAAATAATATATACATAATACAAATTAAACTCACGAGACCTACAACAACAACAATGAATATGGAGAAGAAGAAAGGAAACATGAACAGCGACGACATCTCAATTGGCAGTACGGGGAAAGGAAGATCAAAAGGAAGAAAAGAAAGAGGAGAAAAGGGCGGGAAGAGGTTAGAATTGTGAGGGCAAATGTGTAAATTCACGTAGAGGTGAAAATGCTGCCATTTAAAATTCTAGCTTCCAAACGAGTTTTCAAAACTACTATATTTATATATTGTAGTAGTTTTCAACTCTATATACTCCATAAAATCCAATACATTTAATATCTCGAGGACCCTAGGATGACATAATGTAGAGATACTAGTCCAATATCTTTCCGGACAAAGAAGACTAAACTTATGATCAGTTAATTCACCATTCCAAATATGCTCAGAACGGTGTGTAGATTGAAGATGAAGTATACAATCGTTACTGGGGCCAGACAATCCCTCCCGATATGAAAACATCACAAAACACTGTCGACATTCCAAATTAAACATATATGTTAAAAATATATGTAGTTTTAATTTAGTACATATATAAATATAAATAATGCTTATATTGAAATCCATAGCCTATTATGTTAAAACAAATAAAGCCCTTGAACACATACATAAATTCCTACAACTTATATTAACTCAATCAAAACACTTTCAAACTATATTCAAACATAACACTTGAATCTTATTTTCTAGTTGTGTTGTTTAGTTTAAAGTCTATGATTCTCTTTTTTAAATGCTTCTGAACTACTGCAATAAACTTGAAATTTTCCTCCACTGTCATCTGTTTTGATCTTTCTTTCAAATCGAAATCTGTTTTCCCCTACTTGTATAATGCTCATTCAAAAGCAAGCAACTGCATGAGTTTTTCAACACATCCTATTCATACAAAAAACTAATGAAATCAAAGGCTTATGTATCCCTGTACCAACTTGTGCACTAACCTTTTGATATCTGTAGATGCCCAGTAGATGCCAATAGATATCCACTCTTGAGTATCTGTAAATCATCAAAAGATAATTACAAAAAACTAACTATAAATCATGAAGAAAAGAACTGCCATAAACTCAAGCAAATTTATTCACATAAAGATGGTATAAACATAAATATGAAAATAGAATATATAATATTACAAAAATTAGAAAAAATATATATACCATAAAAAAATTAAATATGATAAATAAAAATTCTAAAAATAATATGATTATACAATAAGAAATAGTAAAAAATAAAAAATAAATAAAAATAATAAGATAATACCTTATGAATCTGGATTGAAGCAACTTTCAAACTTTTTCAACAATCCGATAGGAAATCAGAGATATAAAAAGAGGTGCTGATTTTAAAGAAAAGAGAAGTGAGACTCGGACAAATTTATATGAAAACAAACAAAACACAGAAATTACAATATCCGCCAACCAATATTTTCCAAACCAACAATTAAAACAAAATAGAACGAAAGAGAACAAAATTTTGAAAATCAATTACCATGGATGAGCAGCACCAACGGCAATGGCAGAGTTTGGCAAAAGAAAATCACCGAAAACTCTACAGCGTCGCGCAAAAGAAAACGTTGAAGGAGAATGAGGTTTAGGGCTTAAATGATTTTTTTCTTATTTTTAATAAAAGTATTTGTAGTAGTTTTAAAAACTACTATATTTAATAATTTAGAACTTTTAATAATTTCTAAACTTAAAACTTTAAGAGTTTTGAAAACTACTACATTTTCAAAACTCCTTCGAAGACTAGAATTTTAGATCGTTGACTTAGGCCATTTTTTTAAAAAGCCCTGAAAATACTTATAGGTACTTTACCATCTTTATAAATACTCGTACGGCTGTTGTGATTTTGTTTGTATATTAATTGCATTTTAGCGTACAAAGCCCAATTCTACTTTTTAACCTTTCATTCTTATTGAGTCTATAATTTTTTTCTCCTGAGTTGAGCACTCGGATTTTATATAAAGTTAAATTTATTTATTTATTTATTATGATTCATTTACAGTTGGATTAAGTTGATTTTTTTTACTAGACAATACTAGGAATACATTGTTCTTCCTTTTAACTGTTTAGGTTGTCAGTCATAATTTTGGGTTGAAAGAAGCTATCCCCACGAGAACAACCTAATTTGTAATACTATCTCGTCCGGTTTTAAGGGTCTCATTTATTTTGTACATATTGATTTTTAAATACTCCCTCCGTCCCAAAAGAGACGTCTTATTGAGTGTTGGCACGATAATTAAGGAATAATAGTATTTAATTGAAAATAGTATAAAGTAAAATATAAAAGACTAAAATGCCCTTGCTTTTTGAAGTATTTTAAAAAATAGGTTAGAGTAATAATTAAGGGTAGTTTGGAAAAGTATGAATAATTTTGTTACAAAGTGAGACCACAGTTACTAAATAAGAAAACTAGACAATTGTTTTGAAACAGACGAAAATGGAAACACAAGACAACTCTTTTGGGACGGAGGGAGTATTAATTATTATATCAAAACATAATAGTACAAATTAAGAAAAAATTGCAAAAATACTTCTATTAGTGTATTATAATACCAATAGAATGATATTTGTACAGAAACTTATACAAATATAAAGATATTTTTAATGTTAAAACAATGACGCAAAAGGTATATGTGGCCGTTAGAGGGGGAGCGGATGGAATAAATTTTTTTTTGTTTTTTATTCATAATAATTTATGTATAGTTGATTCTAATGTTTTTTCTTCTTATTTCTGAACAATCGAAATGAACATAAGGCCCAATTTGAAGAACATGTTCAGTTATCCTACTCCTAATGAATTATATTCCTCCTATATCAATCACCTTCCGTCATATATATTTTTTAAATAAATAATTAATAAAACAATAATTTAAATACACATGACTGAGGGGAACTGAATCCTTTTACATCTAAAAAAAGAAAAAATTAATACAACATATTATTCCACAATGATTATTAAAATAATATATTATACTATTTATTATAATTAAAACATATTTTATATATTATTGCGCAATAATATGTATGCTTCATATAAACATTAATTCTATGATGATTATTATAATAATAGTTTTTCTTTTTTTATATTCACTACCATAAAATTAGCCTATAACAACGGTAAAAAAAATTACGATTTTAATAGAAATTAATGATTTTTTTCTAAAAGGTTACAAAAATATATATAAAACCAGTGGAATTTTACTAATGATATTTCTGTGACAATAAGTTATAGAATAATATAATGACAAATTCGTAAAAGAAATACAACAAAAATTTGTGAATATTTTATAATTATGACTTTATTGCACCATATTATATAATTGAATTCATAAATGTACTAACACAGTACGTAGTTTCCCACCATTAATTATCAATATTAAAATTTGAATTTAAAATTACAACATTATATACTAAATAACAAAATAGTTTTCTCACACAATAACATATAAAGTTTCCTTCATTCAAGTACGACTGCGTGGCCATGGCAATATTTAAGTGTCTCGTCATCAGCTTGTGGAAATCAAATATAGCGGCATCGATCGATATCGTCGACTATGCGTTATCAATCGTGGGGGTTTTGGCGTCGTCTACCAAGCAATCGACACTGAGACCGAGAAACAGTAGCGATGAAGCATGAATTGGGAGGGCTGTCAAAGAAATCTATCAGGGAAATTCACATTCTTGAGTTTCCTCGTGGTCATGCTTCTTTCGTCGAACTAAAGGGTCTCGCCAGAGACGGGAAGGATGGACTTTTTACGGTGATGGAGTTCGTAGAAAATAATCTTAGAACACACATGACTTTTATGGAAAGGTCGATATTTACTTGCGAAGTAAAAGATTTGATGCAGCAGTTGCCGGTAGGCATCAAGTTTCTTCATGACAATGGAATGATGCATCGGGACCTAAAGCCTTCGAACATTCTAGTTCCGAAAAAAAGCTTGCTGAAAATATGCGACTTTGGGCTTTCACAACTCTATGATTATAATAATGAAATGCACACATTGGGAGTCGGGGACTATGTACTCCTAGCACTAGAGATGCTTCTCGAACTGAAGAATTATACATGTGCAGTGGTCAATGGGATGCATAATGGCCGAGGTGTTTTTCAATCGAGTCATATTCAAAGGTGCATCTAAGGCTAAACAACTGAAACAAATCTTCAATATTCTCGAGACAGAAACTTTCAATGTACCAGATATTGACGTCAAATTTGACCAACCACGCAAAAGTATTCTCAAGTTAAAGATTGCTGCTGGGAGGCTTATTTTGGGGCCCAATTCTGACGAAGCTTGGATTTGATCTTTTATACAACTTTTTGAGTTACAATCTGACGGATAGAATAACAGCAGGAGATGCGCTGAATTATGAATAGTTTGTATATAGAGGAACTCAATTGGCCGGCGTTCGTCCATGGTGAGCATTGATATACTTCACCTCTAGCTAGCTGCAGATTGGGTAAATGTATATGCAGCTTTTTTGAGTTTGCTGTGTACGTAATGATTTTTCGATGATACATTATATTAATTAATATATGGTGTTGCATTGCATACTTCTGTTTTGTATATGGATGGATATATTCAATATTGTATGTTCAGTTTTGTAATTAGTTAAATAAAAAATACTACTATTATTAGTTTGTTAGTTTGGAACTTGCAGCATCGAATCTTTAACTGTGGAAGTTAGTTAGTTAGAAATGAAGGGCAAATTAATGAATAGATGATAGGCCAACTATATATACATGTCATCCAACAGAAAGGGACGAAGCAAAGGCCGAAAAAATAAAAAGAAAAAGAAAAAGAAAAAAAAAAACATAAAAAATTTAATGTAAAAGATAAAATTTTTATATCTAATAATGTGAATTCTCCTTCTCCCCCGTTCATGTGTATTACTTGATTTTACTCTTATTCTATTATTTTAAACTTACCATGTTGTAATAATTGAGATAAGAAAATAAAACTAATAAGATCTAACCTTATTCCTCAACATTGTCGGATTTAGATCTGCAAATTAACGAAGGGTATTGTGTTCTTCAAGCCTATAGCGCAACCCATCTTGACAAAAACCGCTAGGGTTTCTGTCGTTACTACCACGATGAGATATGAAAGTAATGGATGTTGCATCTAGACCTGGGATCACAATCCTATTTATATCCATTATTATTAATTGGTCTCATCACCCAATTAATAAGTTACCGGGTTTCTGCACATTGGAGGTCCGCACTTACTAAATACATTTAAGCCCAATAAATTAATAAATCATTTAATATAGGCTTAATTCAACTGATAGCCCAAATAGTTACATTTAACCCACAATTGGATTTTTAATCCAACAATCTCCCACTTGGGTAAATATACACTGAATAACCTTATGAGCTCATGAAATTTTGCTATCAGATTCTTTAATGTATATTACCAATCTTATCTATAAGTCACATTAGTGCGTATCAAAGCGGTGGTCACTGCATTTATCGCAATGAGACCGATCAATGGTCACAACACCAATATAACTTAAGATTCGATCAAGAGACAACATGGAAATATCATGTAATGTGATCTTAACATGCCTATTTCCAACTGATCCATCTTAACTTTAATTCAAAACAACTGAATATTGAATTAAAACTAAATACTGTACACTGAATATTGAACATTGAATAATGAATTGTGCAGTATAAACCAAAGTAACCTTAATAGTATTTGAACATTATTAATCAGCTCCCACTAAAATAAAATATCATATATGGTTCCACTCTCATACGAACAACATGTGCAGCAGTTCGATACTCGAAGTGCAGCCCCCGTCAGGCACTCAAAGAAACAAATAATCAAAGAATAAAAGATCTTCAGCAGCAGATGACCGAGTTGACATCCATCGTTCAACAGCTGGTTGTAGGGAAGACGCAACAGGTTCATGCTTTTGGACTTTTCTCGAGCTCTGATCATGCTATCTACACTTGTCCTACACTGCAGTATGAAAGAGGTTTGATGTAGGTCACGCAGCAGGTTACATAGTGCCGCATCAAAACTATAATTCATACTCGAGCACATACAATTCTGGTTGGCATGATCACCCTAATCTTAGCTACAGAAACAAAAAAACCCCTATGGCAACACCACAAGGATTTTGAGCACTTATATCTCCCTCCGCAATATAGACTGACACCGACACCGCCGCCGCCCAATCATGGTATGTCATTAGAGGATATAGTGAAAAACATGACATCTAACACTCATAAAATTTCGGTAAGATATCCGAAACGTTCAGCCAAAAACCGAGAGCAGCATTCAAAACTTGAAAAATCAAATCTTTCCGTTGGCGAATGAATTTTGTGAGATGAAGACAAAGGAGAAAGGAAAGTGGCCAGCGCAACCCAAGACTAATCCAAAAAATATAAGTGCCATGAAGTTGAGAAGTGGGAAAACTATAAAAGATCTAGATCCTACCATTCTAATGGAGAAAAATCAAGAAGAGATTAGGAAGGAAATATAAAATGAGGCGTCGATGTAGACAAAGAAAGTAAAAACAAATGAATTTGATTTTCATGATTTGAAATTCCTTAGTTTTGCACAGTTTGGAGAAGCTGAAGATGCAAGAGAAAGAAAAAGCAAATCATATTGCAGTGTTTTTTGAGATGTTTCGAAGAAATTAGTGTTGGGATAGTTTTTTAGATTGTTCCACTATTTATGCTGACTTGAGTCTTATATACTAGCATTATGTTCTTTAGGTATTTCTTTTCAAAAGTTTTGTGCCTATAATTATCATTTTCCTATCTTAGCCCTTAGCCCTGTTACAACCGTTAATAAAGACCTTTGGATTATTTGTATCATGTTTCATTTTAACTGGGGAGATGTGATCTAAAAACAAACATATAAAATTACTGTTTTTCATGCAATTTGAGGAATAAGCTATTATTTCTTTTTGAGAGACAAGTGCATACAATTATATATTCCTTAGATTTGGTGAGGAAGGTCTTGCTTGGCATACTCCTATTTTGGTAAAGTGGATTTTGTTGAAGATGTCTATGAAAGAATAGGATCCATGAGTTACGTAACTTTCTGATACATACTTCAGGAAAAACATTCCTTAAGTATGAGAGGATTTGATAGGCTATATTTTGCGTACACTTTTTATATGTATATATTGATACATTGATATATTTCTATTGATTTTTGTGCTATTTTAGGTTATATTCAAAGCGAGCATGCAATTGAAGGTAAAATAGAAAAATAGAACAAAATGTGCCCCTTACCCATGCTCGTGACTAAGAGCGGAAGGACTGCCCGGAATTTTGGTTGGACGCACTCACTAACATTCCATCCAAGATTTCTCTTAAAGATGATAACAAGATTAAACTTTAACGTCAGTGACAACAAGGAAATGAACTGGAATGAGAAGTCCATGGAGCCTCTAGATCCAAAAGGTTACAATCAACTAGAGTTCATGAAAAATTTTCTTGTCAAAGTCATTTAGAATGATCTCTGGGTAAGACTCTAGACATATTTTCATGATTTTGGTTTGGAAAACTCTGTAAGTTTGGAAGATTTTATGCACACAAATGAATATGAAATGTTCGTAAATAAGGAATTTTCTAGGAAGACAATGTTAACTAACGCAAAGCATTTCAACTTTCTTGGATCAGCCTTCTATAGATGTGGCTTATACTTTATTTACACCATCCAAAATAGATGGAGACTATAAAATAGATGGATCAGCCTTGCCATAAACAATGCCCTTGCAGCTATAAATTTTGCCCATTGTAAGGTTTTGAGACTATGAATCAATGTCCATACGGGGTATGGGATCCTTGGAATCCACGGAGGCAACATCCAGCTACTCCACCAACTTATCCATGGACTTCTTGGAGGTCATATTCATCGGCACCTTCAGTCTTTCCTTGGGTAGGGGGAAATACTATAATCACCAACACATCAACTCAAGAAGTGACTTTCAAATTCACACAACATATGGTGGACTTTGAGTCCATAAATGCACTTTTCCAAAGTGTTCCATCTTTACAAACTTTGCTACAGAAGGCTGATGGATCAAAGAAACTCCTATATACCCATAAGGATGACTATCCCCATTCATTGAATAGTTTTGACCTTCAATAAATCCACCCCTCCAAGCATCAAGAGGAGTACTTGAAGGCATTGACCATCCATTTCCGAAAGTAGGACACCATTTTGTATATAATTATTTTTTTTGGGTATATAATTACTTTATTTGTCATAATTAAGAAGTGTGGAGTATAAAGAGAACACAATAAAAAATAGGAAAAGAATTATGCAGAAAAGTAGATTTTCTCAATCTTATATTATATACACAGTAGCATAGTTGGAACATTAAATAACGAATTCAAGGTTTTGGTCCATGAGTCTTACTCAAGGCCCACAATAGTTGGCTTTATTCAAGGGCTCGACCCACAAAAGCCCAAACCTTGATCGTTAGGGTTTCATTCACAACCATTGTTGCTAATATAAATACCGCCCTTGCTACTTTGGACTTTACGCCGCTCAACCCTCTCTTCCTCTTCCCTCTGATTTTGTGCCATTCTCTCGATGTTTTTATTCATTGAGCAATGGTTGTGACTTATATGTTGTTCTACAACTGCAATATGTCTTCTCCGTGTTATTGAATGTTGTGAGGAGTTCTTATCATTAGATTTGAAGAAGCAAACTTTGTGTTTGCATTGGAAAACTTTGTGTTTAAGGTGAGATTGTGTTTGCAAACTTTTAGATAAGCAAAATTCAATTGCTTATTTGTTTATTTATGTAATCTTACTATTGAAATACTTAATAATTGCGATAACTAAAACATGTTTTAATGATGAACAATATTAGATACCTCATAGTTCTAGATCAATAATGAAGAAATATATATACTTTGGGCATGTTTATTAAATAATTGAATAATTTTCTTCGATGAAGTTTATTAAATACCCTTTATGTGAAGATTTTCATTTATTTGTAAACATAATGGTATTTTTTTTATGTTTTAGACACTGTTTCCACCTAAAAAAATCGATAATTAATATTTTTTCTTAATTAATATGTTCTAGAACAAACACTAGAGCACATGCCAAGTAATGGTTGTTTGAATTTTATGGGTGGCCTATTATTGATTTTGAGTATTTTTTTCTTACAATTGAAAATATGAGAAAACAAGAATATCATATATGGTAATTTGATTCGATCCAAAAAGGTATGTGTCCAAATAATTATTATCAACAAGAATATATCACTATTAATAATGTAAATCATCTATTAATTGATCACATACCCATAACATTCAGTTTACACATTTCTTGGCATATATTTCCAAAGACACCCTACACTAGGGTCTTTCTCTAACATAAAATTCTCATGAGTACAAACTATTATTTGTTTCGGTAGTATACTACATGCGTCTATCAATTTAAAACTAAAGAGATTCATAGTATACATAACATCTTTGCAGGAATATTCAAACATGAATGATGTGATTTCTCAATAATGTCATGACCTAAGGAGAAGAAAAGAGCAATATATTCAGGTATGTGATGGCTATCTCTCATACTTCACTGTCTATGTTTATATGTTGCACTGTCTATATGTTCTTCATGCATAACCTTCTACTTTTATTTTGGTTGCTTCATATTGTTGTTTTGGATTGAATCAAATCTACTGTGTTCCTATATTTTTGTTGGTTAGTATTTTTTTTTTTTTTTTATCTTCGTGTTGCTTGGTTTAATGATAAGAAAGAATGTAAAGGAAAATCCATCCAATCTATCTCTTTTATTCATTTATTTGTTTAAACAACCAAGTATAGACTTGTTTTTTTTAATGGATTTTATCCACTTGTCTACTAATCTTGTTTGTTCACTTGTAAATTCAACCAAGAATCAATTCCAAGACATGGAAAGCTTCAAATCTATATCAATCCAGAATCATCCTAATACATGACACCATAGTCAAAATGTAAAAGTAAATTGACAAGTCATAAATAAAATGCCTGAAAAAATAGCACCGACAGTACTATAAAATTGCAAAAACAAAATGATATGTCATAAATAAAACTCCCTCCCACCCCGAGTAAACAACAACTCAATGGAAAACAACCATTTTCTCCCCCGTAAACAAATTTCAACATCAATCAAAAACTTTCCAAATCTTTCAATATCTAGAAAAATTAACCCAAAATTCACTTATATGAAGAAACTACCCAACAAAACAATCAAGAAGAAAGAACCCCAAAATACATTCACACCTAACGAGAAAAGATGGAATATCCAATATAAGTTGGGTTGCCGGTTTATAATCTAATCCTACTCAACCTAACCCAACTTGAGTTAACTCACTATGTTTGGACCAACTTGGATTGACCAAAAGCAAATCCAACACATTGTATATCCAATTACTCGACACATAATCTCCATAGAGCTTCACTTTATTTTTTCCAGTGTCTATCCATTATTATGCTTCAAATACGACTATTATCAGCTTTCTTCAGCCTCTCTACTGCTAATGGCCCTCATAAAAGACCCTTGACTGGCCAGAGACCTATTTCCCAGCTTTTTATTGTTAGAATATTGCCCTTTCTAGTTTTTTCATATGTTACATTAATTGTGTAATGAGTCGAGACTCGAGGTCAACACCAAAAAGAAAAAAACAATGAATTCATTCCGAATCCATTTTGTAGTGTTATTTTGTGTCTTTTCTAGATAGGTTTGTTTGGGCATGTAAAGTCAAACCTTTGAGAAAATTATGAAGAAAAAAAAAATGATTTTAAGGCCCATGGTGGTCTAATTAAATCCCCATAGAAAGCTAGTAAAACACTCTGACATGGATTAAGATCATCTCCATGAATTAAACTTGAAAATGAAATATCTAATATATTCGGGAAACTTACAAATGACGAATTAAAAGAAAAATAAGATAAATCAAATTCTAAAAGAAATCACTAATCTTGAGCAAGCACTTTCGAGAATCTACGGACTGTCTGAGGCTGCCAATGCGTCTTCCGTCTCTCACACAATTGCATCCGAAGCTCAAACTCTAAGGAATCTCTCTAAAGTTAGCTGGGGTAAACCCTCTCTAATTGTTCTCATATCTAGGTTGTGTGTCCAACAAGAAACTACAAGGCTATATATATTAAATGACAAATTGATCTAAGCCACACATCTTAAGTGGCAAGCTAACCTAAGCCACACATCTTGATTAAAATCAAAGGATCACAACTCCCAAACAAACAAGTAACTTCGACCGGGTCCGGGTTGCAATCGGTCCGTCTAAGGTCGGGTTAGAGTGATCCAAAGCCGTTCATCCTCTCCCCCTTCGGCTACCTTGTCCTCAAGGCTAGTGGCATCTTCAACATGGTTAAATAGTGTCAAATAGGCAACATTTTAAGTCACGTTCACACTAAGTCTTTCGGAAGTGCAATGCGGTATGCGTTATCGTTTATGCGCTCCAACACAAAAAATGGACCAGCTCCATGAGGAGAAAGTTTCCCACGCTGCAACTCTAGAAAGCATTCTCTATGCAAATGTACCCATACCCAATCGCCGGGTCTAAATATCACGCGTTTTCTTCGCGATTGGCATAGTGTCCGTATGTCGCGGCCGCCTTATCAATGTTCTCCCATACTTTGGCATGTAATTCCTTGATTGCTGTAGCTCGGTCCCTGCCACTAAAATTCAAATGCTCGGTACTAGGTAGTGGCAATATATCGGTAGGGGTTAGAGGGTTAAAACCATAAACAACCTCAAACGGGGACAATTTAGTAGTAGTACTAACATGCCTATTATAAAAAAATTCAACATATGGTAGACATCCATCCTATGTTCGACCACTATCATGTACCATGGCACGTAAAAGATTACCTAAAGTACGATTGACCGCCTCCATTTGGCCATCCGTTTGAGGATGACACGTGGTAGAGAAAAGCAAGTACATCCCGATTTCATGCCAAAGACTTCTCAAGAAATACTATACAAACTTTACATCCTGGTCCGATACAACAGTTTTTGAAACCACATGCAATTTCACAACCTCTCGAAAGAAACGTTTCGCCACATGATTAACATCCACCATTTTTGCACAAGGTTTAAAGTGAGCCATCTTTGAAAACCTATCAACCAAAACAAAAATTAAATCTTTAGCACGTGGTGTCCGAGGTAAACCAAGGACAAAATCCATAGAAATATCTAATCAATGGGCCTTCCGGAGTGGGAGGAGAAGTATACATACCATGGGGCTTCAAAGTACTCTTCGCCACTCTACATGCAAGACACATATCAACAAAAGAATCAACATGTTTAAGCATATAAGGCCAATAAAAGTGAACGCTAAGAAAATAAAACGTAGCATGTCTACCAAAATGTCCAAACATATGATTACCATGACTCTCCTCAATCAAAACATCTATAACGCTACATCTAGGAATGCACAATTTATCACCATGAAACAAATAGCCATCATACTTAATAGTAATGATCAAAACTATGCTTCTCACACCTCCTAAATATATTACCAAAATCCATATCATGCTCATCCAACTCACGAATATGGACAAATCCAACCAAATGTGTACGAGTATGATTAAGTAAAACATACCTCTGAGAGAGTGCATCAACAACTACATTCGCCTTCCCTTGTTTATACTTAATTACATATGAAAATTGTTCAATAAAGCTTACCCACTGAACATAACACTGATTGAGTTGTTGCTACCCACGCAAAGGCTTGAGGGTCTCATGATCCGTGTGAATTACGAACTCCTTTGGAAGCAAGTAATGTTTCCAAACTCTCAGGGCTTGCACAACCGCATATAATTGTATGTTGAGTAGTTCAGGGCTGCTCCATGGAACTTCTCACTATATTAAGCAATCGGTCGCCCTTCTTGTAACAGTAATACCAACTCCACTAGCATCACATTGGACTTCAAAAGCTCGTTCAAAATCAGGTAGTGCCAAAACCGGAGCATGTGTCAAACTATCCCGAAGCTTCTCAAAGGCGGCTTCGTGACTTGACTCCCACTTAAATGGAACATTCTTCTTCAAAAGGGAGGTCAATGGGGTTACTATCACTCTAAAGTGTGGTAAAAATTGATTCTAAGGAACCTCCGAACTTCGGCCACACTTGCACATTTTTTTCATTCCCGAATTGTAGCAACCTTAGCTTCATAAACCTTAAGACCATCTGAACCTACACCAAAGCCAAGGAAAATAATTTTCTTAGTAAAAAATATGCATTTCTTTAACGTACCATACAATTTAGCATTTCTTAAAGCATGAAAAACTTGGCTAACATGTTGAAGATAGTCCTCCAAACAAGTACTACAAACAAGTATGTCATGAAAGTATACAATCACAAACTTTCCAATAAATTCTCTCTAACACATGGTTCATCGATCGCATAAAATTGTTGGGCACGTTTGTCAACCTGAATGGCATGACTAGCCACTCATACAACCCAAACTTGGTTTTAAAAGCTATTTTCCACTCATCTCCAGGTTGCATACGAATCTGATGGTATCCACTCGTTAAGTCAATTTTTGTAAACAACCGTGCTCCATGCAACTCGTCAGGCATATCATCCAATCCCTCGATTGGATGTTGGTATTTCACATTAATTACATTGACAGACTTGCAATCAACACACATACGCCCTGAGTTATCCTTTTTAGGGACAAGTAAAATAGGTACAACACAAGGAGATAAAGATTCTCGAACCCATCCCTTATCAAGAAGCTCTTGGACTTGTCTATGAGTTTCTTCACTTTCATTTGGATTACACATATAAGCTGGCCTATTTGGAATTAATGCACCTGGTGCAAAATCAACAAGATGTTCAATGCCTCGCAATGGTGGTAATTTATGTGGTATATCATCCAGAAAAATATCCTCAAACTCCTTAAGTAAGTCTATAAAATGAGAATACAAGTGAGAAAAAAAATTATCATCAATGACAATAACAAATACTTTTTTAAGTAAGAGAATATGGAAGTAACTTCCCTCATATTGGTTATTGATTTGGCGAACTTCTTTGTTGAACTCTTTGAGACTAAGCAGCAGCTTGCCATCGTCTCCCTCGGAAGGTTTCGCCAAAATGGTAACAGCAACTCCTTTTGATTTTAGCACATCTCGCATAGTCCTATGTAAATGTTCAGCATCACGACGGCAGTCTCGAGTGGAATGGCGGAAATGCTCAGCTTCTTGCGACCTTTAACGAATGATATTTGATTCTTATATCTGTCGGGAAAAACTCATCTATCAAATTACCATGGTCATCTCAAAAGAAGATGGCATGCAGTCATGGGGCACACATCACAAAGGACATCGTCGGTGAAACCACAAATCGAAAAGGTAACAATCGCTCATCTATCAACATGGAGAAATCCTTCATCACTCATCTAATGTAGCTTATATGGTTTCGGGTGTGGGGTGGTATTCAAACTCAGCTTCTCGACCACATAAAAACTAATAACATTAGTGCAACTACCCGAATCCACTATCATGGATATAGTATGTCCCGCTACCTTGTAATGACAGTGGAATATATTTTCTCGCTGTTCTGCATCCTTATCTTCGTGTGGTAAAGAGGTCAAGGTATGCATGACTACTAAACTTAACGGATCCTAATCACACAGTTCTTCAATTTCATCATCACTTCCAGCCTCTGCTTCAGCCTCTACTACCTCATCGCCCTCACCATCATTGACATATTCCCATTCGCCATTCTCTAAAATCATAACGGTTCGTTTATTGGGGCATTGACCTGCATATTGCCCTTGTTTATGACACTTATAGCATATTACAATCTTTTTTTTTCTCTGTCCAAACTCCTTTCCTTTGAACTTCGCAACCTCATCCTTCTTATCAACTACTTTAGATTTGTCTTTATCCATATTTTTTATCAAAAGGCTTAGTGAAAACAATCTCTTAGATTTGGTAGAAGATAAGGAACTACATAACTGGTTAGGAACTTCTTTTGAGATGACAATCCAGTTGAGGTTGGTCTCTTGAGCTACTCCTCGCATTTGATAGCCAAATCCACAGCTTCCCGAAGAGAATGAAAATGGTGCAGCTCAACTGTATCAGCTATCTCACGCCTCAAACCCTTCATAAACCGAGCTTTTTTCAATGACTCACTCTCATCAATATCTAGTCGCATCATCAAAATCTCCAATTCCTTAAAATATCCCTCCACCGATTTCGAACCTTGCACCAAGGACTGCAACTTGATATCATATCTCATTCATAACTTTCTAGCACAAAATGCCTCCTCATAATTTCCTTCAACCAGGGCCAAGTATCAATCAGATTTCATTCATGCAATTCTCTATAATATCTCTCATTCTCCCACCAAGTCAATGCATAATCCCTGAATTAAAAAATCGCCATTCGGAATTTCTTGTCATCTGAGTAATTATGGCAGTCAAATGCCATATTGCACTTCATCGTCCAATCCAAAAAATTCCTCTACCTCTCTTAATCATCAACCACTTTGCCAGTTTGGTCTCGTTCATAAGAGTGCTCTGAGTTACGGCTATTGTGTACGTATGACCGTATTGAAGGACTCACATCACGATGACGAGAAGCCTCAGTTGCATCATATCTACCCCGAATATCAACTACTCCAGAAGAAGTCTCAGTTCGTGCCGTCTCCAATGATGTCAACCTATGATTGAGGTCCTCCATTTTCTTATTCACGATGTACTTCACATGATCCCAAGTTGTCCTTTGTTGTATGGATAAAGTTTTTTTTCCATTTTTGCCTCCAATTGTTGCATACTTGATCCCAACAGCTCCTTCAATTGTTCGAAAGTGGTCATCCTACAAACAAAGACAATGAGAAGCAACTCTCAACCGTATCAGCTATCGAAAGTTAAGTGCTCTCACTCTCTCTCACAATTCTCATAAAGGAAAATTAGAAGCAACCACGATCAAAACAAAAGAAGTATTTTTCAATTACCTCAAATAGTACGTAGGAATTCCTTCAAATGCAATACGCAAGGAGAAGTAATGTCGAACAAAAACAAGACGCATCAACTAGGAAACAAACTAGAGCATTCGACGCCAAACTATAATCGTAGAATATAAAGAAAGTTTAACACAAGTTTTTATTCCACAATTAAGCAACAAGCTAGAATCGAAATCCCTAGCACATCATTTGATCATGACAATGTCTCCTAACTCAAAAAGAACCCCCACAGAAGAATAGAACTACTACCTCAGAACTGGTTTAGTGACTGACAACTATGATTATCCAAATGATTGACAATGCACTGTAACAAAAAGAGAAAGTGTGATGCTCAAATTTTTTGTTTTCTTTTGTTTTTTTTTTATATGCTCTAGAATTTTACTTAATGTTTAGAGCGCGCCTTTTTCAAATTCATATCACCATCTTTGCTCTTTCACTGCACTTTTGCCACACTCTTGAAAAATAGAACATTGTGCATTATAACCAAATTCAAACGCTATTTCAGAGAGCTATTCAAATCCAAAATCACGATTCCAAAAATTATAGTTAACTTCAAGGAGTTATCTAATAGCAAAAAAATGAATCACTCCAAAATTCCAACCAATTACAAGCAGTAAATCGAACAAGTAGACTGTTCAAAATAGAAAACAGAAAGTTCGGACCCAAAATCTTCGGGATAACCTATCTCTGTGTTCCAAGCGCTTTTTGACAATTTTTAGATCGCAGTTTTCTTGAGGAACAAATTCAACACAAAACTCATGTTTGGCAACTAACAATGGATTGGAAGTAGCTATCATGTCTAGAGAGGAAATTTTTGCAACAACAAAATGACTATTTCCAGAAACTATGAACTATCTCTGAATAGCATGAATTAAACCTATATTTAACACAAATTTGATCAAACATGACATAGAGTCATATGATGAAAACATGTTGTGAACAAAATAGCCTCGAAATCTTATGATCAATCAATAACCGCTCTGATACCAATTTTTGACATGGATTACGATCATCTTCATTAATCAAACTTGAAAAGAAAATATTTAATATATTCGGGAAACTTACATATGAAGAATCGAAAGAAAAATAGGATAAATTGAACTCCAAAAGCAATCACTCCTCTCGAGCAAACACTTTCAAGAATCCACGGACTGTCCGAGGTTGCCGATGTGTCTTCCGTCTTTCACGTAATTGCATCCGAAGCTCAAACAATCGATTTGCCCTCTCGGCAGATGGAATCTCTCCAACTCTAAGGAATCTCTCCAAAGGTAGCTAGGGTAAACCATCTCTAATTGTTCTCATATCTAGGTTTTGTGTCCAACAAGAAAATACAAGGCTATATATACTAAATAACAAATTAATCTAAGCCACACATCTTAAGTAGCAAACTTACCTAAGCCACACATCTTGATTAAAATCAAGGGATCACAACTCCCAAGCAAACAAGTAACTTTGACTGGGTCCGGGTTGCAATCGGTCCATCTAAGGTCGGGTTCGGGTGATCCGAAGCTGTGTCACACTCAATACAAGAAGTATGTGTTTTGTTTTTTGTATGTAGACTATGTAAGACAGTCTTGTAGATGGAAAATTGTATTCATTTTAGAGGGAGAAAGTTCCATTTTCTCTCTAATCTTTTTTTCCCATACTCCTTGTGTTCAAAAAGATTTTGAGCATTCATGAAGACTGAAGCTCATCTGAAGAAGGAGAATTTGTTTTTTCAATCGGAGAAGAGGATCAACACATGAACACAATTGATCTCGATTTGATAGTGTTTCAAATGTGGTTTGATCACTACTTTCTTGTGAATGTATATCCCAAGATGGCGGTAGGAGAGGATAGATGGTGATCGAAATTTGTTGAGTCGTACAGTTGATTGTATATATGGCGATAGGTTTATTGAATGTTTTTTAGATTGGAATCCCCGAGATATAAGTTGTTATACTGGCTTATCAAATATTGTGTGTTTTTATTTTTTATTTGTAATTGGCCAACCCTAGGCAAGTATCGCTTACACAGACAAATATTTTAACCATTGATCAATTGTATATTTCCCAAAATGCAAACCCTTATGACTTTCTTTGTTCTCATTAGATTTAGAGAAGTTGGCCTCTTACATGCTTATTCTTTTTTCAACAAATATCAAGTTGTTTTGCAACAAGATAATCATCATTTTGAAATAAAAGTTCCCTTTTTTTTCTAAAGTCCCATATGTAGTTCATTTGTTTGTTCCATTGCTTGAACACACTTCCGAACAAACACTTTATTCCTATTCTACTCACACATTCATTTTTTAAGTCACACATACTTCTTTGGATAGTTGCAATTTATTTTAACAAATATTTTGGAAGTCATAATTGTTTAAACTTCAACAACTTCTTCCATCCAAACTGACAAATTGCTTTGTTACTTTATTTCCAAATGTTTTGTCACTTCAATGTCTTTTGTCCTTGAAGCATTGCCTAATCTTGTAGTCCCTTTTTTGGCAATAGATAGAGGAGATTTCATGATGATTCTTCAATATATGTACTTTCCCTCTTATTATCATGCAACATCTTTGAATCACTTTTCCTTCTAGTTTGGTTTTATGACATACCATAATCCTTGGAATTGTTGTATCTTCCTTATGTTAGATATCTAAATTAGTTCTCTCTTTATATGATTTTTCAATAGATAGAACTTCATCAAGTGTGGCTTTTTCTTTGTTGAGTTATTCGAAATCAAAATGTAATTCATCTTTTGAATCTTCATCGAGGCTCTTTAGTTCATCATATTATTTTTTCTAATCCCACGTATTTATCTTCTCTTCAGTTTTTCCCTTTTTTAAATTATCATGTCATGATGGCTTTCAATATATTTTCCATAATTTTGGTTCTTTAACTTTTATAGCTCAAAACTAAATTCATCTTTGCAATTTTAAAGATATGTTCTCAACTTCTCTATCTCTATTAGTGCTTTATTCAATTCTTTCACAAGTCTTTTCTTCTTGGAATTAAGATCCTTGTAACTACCACGGACCTCATTATACACCACAGTGACTTCTTTTTATGGCCATCTCATCTTGTTCTTTGATTTCATCTTAAGATTCGTAGATTTCTTCATTTCTTCTAGAAATTCTAAAATGTTGGAATGTGTTTGTTGCTTCTTTAATGTATCTTTAATGTATGGGCGTATTCAGATTCTGCATGTCCTTTTCTTCCACATTTATAACAACTTCTTTTCTTTCTTTTATTTCCATCAATCAGACTTGCTTGTCTTGTATTCCCAATATATTTTTAAGAAAACCACTCTAGTACCACTTTATAGAATTTTAGATTGGCATCCGGTAGATGTTAAGTGTGCGTTCTCATGACTAAAAAATAGGAAAAAATAAGAATACCCAATATGATAAACAACTTTGATCAAAATTAATCTATATTTAGGGCACTTTCATCAACAATAATAAATCATTGTCAATACTGTAAATTATACATTAAATTAATTACACACTCCAATCAATTAGTCTACCCCTCTTTAGCATCAGGCAACCAACACCAAAGATCTCAGCCCAAACACCCAACTTTTACATGAGTGTAAGAGGCTATATAATATTTGTTTGTGTTTATGATATATTACATGTGTTAATCTAACCATCAACGATAATTCATAATGTACATAAGTTCTTTGCATGAACATTAAAACCCGGATCGTTTGATGAAGTTGTCACCAAGGAAATTTTGAATTAGAGTCAATGGAAGAATGCAACTGTAGTAAAGACGAGAGCAATATACTTCAGGTATGTGATGGCTATCCCTCGTACTACACTTTGTTTGCTTCTCTACTGCATATATGTTCTCCATATATCAACATATGCTTCTAGTTTGGTTATTTATATTGTTTCCTTCAGTTAGATAAAAATATATATTCTATTTAGATTTGATCATGATCTTCTCCTAGATAAGTTTTTCTTTTTCTCTATCTTTTTGTTGGCTAATTTTTTTCTATAAAATCGGATATAAATAAAATTCCATCTAATCTATGTCTTCTTTGTTAACTTGTTTGTTTGACCAAACAAGTATAGACTTGTTTCATGAACAATTGTTTTGGCTTAGCTTGTGTTTCACTTGTAGATCTAAACATAATATGCAAAACTCTACTAATGCTAACAATGGCAATATGAGAAGAGATCGCAATAATTCACTAAAAGCAGTAATAATCTTCAGCTCCAATTTCAGAAATTTTTTTTTACCAATTATTACATTTTCCTCGTAAACTTTTATGGTTGTAACTTTTTTTACATGTTATTTAACTTTATTATTACTTTATTAACACTCTTTCACATTCATTTAGGTTAATATTTGTTAAGTTCATTGCTAAAGACTCAAATCTAATATACGGATTTTGTTTTCCCATCAGGTTCGATGTTTGGTCTATTGGGTATAAATATGGTTTTTTAGTTAGGAAATCAGACCGTTAGACATGGTAAATTTGAAAAAAAAAAAAAAGGAACGAGCTATTAAATAATCTTACAATTGAACAAGATCAATTACAAACTTTTCAAAAATACCAAACTCGTATCAACATAATCAATGAGGAATGTAAGACTTAATAGGAGAAGTAAAGAAAGAAGGTGAATAAACGTAAAATCTACGATATAGGGGAACAAATTTATTTGAGATATATATGTTTCAGAATTCCTCTTTTTCTTTTGTATAAACCAGTCTCTAACAAATTAAACAATAGTTAGGTTTTATGACCTTATTTCCATTTTAGATGGAAAGCTAAATAATTAGATATAGGATTATTTTCATAGAATTCTACTAAAATGATCCAAATGATAAGGTGTGCCACAAATTAAAAAAAAAAAAAAAGTGTATTTATGAATAACAACAGGAATAATAACAACAATTCACCATATTTTGTGAAGACAATTTTTAATTTTGAGCTTCAAGAATACACATTGTCGTTCTTCTGTTGCAGATGAACTACTGCTATGTTCTTTTGTGATCATCCTTCGCATAGTTTTAGGCCACAATTGATATTAACAAGTGATTTCTACATTGCAAAAATTCTCTTCATTGTTTATTTATTTATTTTTATATTGTCATCTTTTATAGGAATGAAAGAATATTAATCACATGCAATCAGAATACTACGATATTTTAAATTTGTTTTGCCTCAGAAGATCATCATTAACTTAAACATTGAAACTTCTTTGTGATTAAATACTGAATTTTTCTATTTTAATAAATGAAATTTGATTTCCTCCCTTTCTTGGGAGTCATATTAAATCAAATCTAAAATTATGTTTGAATTATTTCTTTAGGGTGTTAGCAACTGCTTTCAAGATTCCACAAACTGAACTTAATTTTTTTCTCATCCGTAAACGAAAAAAAGAAAAAGAACAACTCTTCAAAACCGACCGAATGTGTCCACCGAATCTTATATTTGTTTGGAGTCTAATGATTATGAAAGAATTGTATATTTTTGTTGAATTTTGGTGATCAAGAGAATATTTACATTAGTTATGCATTAGTTTCAAATGTATCAAATATATATCAAATATGTAATATCTTTTTCTCATATTCTAACATAAATTACAAATATTGTGCCTGGAAGACCAAATTCAACTGATTTTGATATCTTGAGAAAAATATTATCCCCAAGTTGAAATAAACATAAGTGTATATATATCTATAGACGAAGAAGATGGATATTGCTAATACATATAGAGTGGACTGAGACAGCTGCCGAATTAACAAAGAGCTTTCCCGCAAACCAACAAACTACGTGTTCTTCATTCATGAAGCGATCGATGTTGGCCATGTTGTAGGTTTCTGGTGTTGTCAGCGGCATCAATCGGCATATAAAATTTCAATATAGTTGCATTTATAGAGATCGGGAGACACTGGATTTGGTCGACATAGTCAGATAACTATTTTTCCAATTGTTGTGTTCTCTTTCTTGTAAATATGAAGGGTGCTTTGAAAGTCGAAGGGATAAATGTTTAGCCCCTTATCTAGTATTCCTTGTCACTTTGGCCCGGTGCGCATGGAAACAATCTAATAAATTTTAGATCTACAATGACTGTTATTCACCTATATATTGATCGAAATATAACTATACATAGATTCACTCCATCTAAACAATAGTGAGCAATCATCACTACTATAAATTCCCCGGATTAGTATGATATTATCGCCACGATTCTACCCTTATATTTCCTCTGTACATATGCATAATTAAGCTACTTATGTTTTCCGATCTATTGTTATCTCAATTTCTTGAATTCAACTAATGGATGAGATAATGGCTGTTGGCTTTAATCAGCTTGGTTTTCCGGAGTGGTCGAATTGGAGCAAAAAACCTCGCACATCACGACAACAAATACTCCAAACGGAATCTCAGAAGCTTCCGACAGTTGCAGAATCTCCAGCAGTTGATCCAATGGTGCAGAATGGTCCTTCCTACCGGTGCAATCAGTGTGCTGCTGTTTTTACTTCACCGCAAGCCCTTGGCGGCCACAAAGCCTCCCACCGGCGCAAACAACCGTCCATGGCTGGAGACAAGATCCCTGCAGCTCCATCTGGAAAAAGGGTTCACAAGTGCTCCATCTGCAATGCAAGCTTCGCAACGGGCCAAGCCCTCGGTGGTCACCAAACTTTACACCGCCGTCATATTTCTCCAATCTCCAGCAAGAGAAATGTCGTGCACAGGTGCTCCATTTGCAATGAAGAATTCACGACAGGACAAGCCCTTGGTGGTCACATGCGGAGGCACTATGAAGGCGATCTCAGCCGCGGTTCTAGAAGGCAACAGACAGATGACCATATTGGATCAGTCTCTTCTTCGAAGCCCTGCCTTAATATTGAATTAAACAAGTCTCCAACAAGGTCGGACAACGAATATTATGATGAGAACTAGACGTTGTTGTAATGCTGCTGTTAGTTATGGTATAAAATGACTGAAACTCTTCAGAGATTTGGTGTACATTATGATGCATGGTTTTTAAGAACTAAATCGTTTTATTATATCTATTACCATATTATATTTCACCATTTATAATTATTTGTGGTTAGGATTTTTGAGCTTCAAAAGCGGATTGAAAAACAATTGAAACATAAAAAAATTTACTTGATAAACTTAAAATGGAAAAACCATGGGCGGGATGGAATTCACTAAATGAATCGATTCATTACATTGGTACAATTTCTTCGAATGAATGAAGAAAATTGCAGCATCAAATAAATTCCAAAACATCCACACCAACATAAACCAAAACGTGCACGAAAATGTCACCACCATGCACCCCAAACACACCGAAATGGCACACAGAACTGCAAATCGATTCATGAACCAAATGGAGAATAAAAAACACAAAAAAGTCCATTTATGACATCCCTGTCAAAAGTATAGTTAAGATTCCCATAAATTATGAGATAATATCATAATGAATGCAACCACAGTTAGTTAAAGATTGTAGGCTATAAATCTAATATGGGGCCATAAATGGTCCTTGATCACGCCCAGGCTTGTAGATGTGAAGCAACTACAAAAATGATTTCAGAATAAAAGGGTCTGCTTAGTCATGCTCATGATTGAAACCATAGTTTGATTCTTGAAAATTTTACCATGTCTTACCAAAAAGAGAATTTGAGTCATATTTCCTAGCAATCTCTATCTTGCATTTGAGTCATATTTCCTAGCAATCTCTATCTTGCTACAAATTGGATGAAATAGACTTATTTATTGCCAAGTACCTTCTTGAAACTTAACAACTTCCAAAATTAACCAAGTCCAAACAATGTTGGGACATGGTAACAATAGGATTTCTTGTCTAACATAGCCAAAGCAGCATCACTCAAGGTTGCATTCTTCTTTTCATCAAATTATTCCTTCAATCTGTTCCGAATAAGAATCGCCCACATCTGAATCTTCCACATATCAAAAGAAATATTGCTTTCAAACTTCTCGATATCAAATTTTGCAACCGGAATGTTTGTTGTAGAATGCTCTAATACCATTTGTTAGAATTATTGCACCTAAAAATTATGTTGAAAATACGGAAGCAGATTGAAAAATAATTGGAGAATAAAAGTATTGCAAATAAGGAAAGAACAAAAAGTTAACATGGGAAGCCTATAATGGGAAAACTACGGGTGATGAGAAAACCACTAGAAGAATCAAACGGGGAAGGTTACGGTACTGATTTGGAAAAATCAATACCGTGTCAGCACCCATAAAATACAAACACAGTACCCGTCTTTAATAAAGACAACATGTGTTATTTGTAATAAAGACATGCGTTGTTTGTTTATAATTATACGTGTATTGTACAAGTGTATATCATATGCTGAAATAAACGGTTGCATGTGTTGGATGAGACTATATCATATGTTGTTAGTTCATGTATTGTGTTTGTATTATATTAATATAAATGATGTGTTGTCACTAACATTACCGTGTAATGTTTGTTAGCTATTTATGTGTTGTTAGTTCATATGTTGTATTTGTATTATATTAATATAAATTATGTGTTGTCCCTAATATTACCATGTGATATTTGCTAATTATATTTGTACTGTTCAGCACAGTGCTGAATTTGAGATTCAACATTGTAGCCGCTGCCCATTACAACCGTAAAATTTCTCCGAATGGATAATGAAAATTTCAACCTCAAACAAATTACCAAACTTCCACACAAACATGCACCAAAATGTGCACTCCAAATGTGAACTCAAAAAGACACTAATATAGCACACAAAAGTGCACATCAACTCATGAACAAAATGAAGAGTAAATATCCCAAAAAAAAGTCTCCGTTTTATATCTATATCCAAAAGAGAACTATGAATACGGAGATAATAATGCACTGCACAATTAACAAGAAGGTTCTAAGCTATAAATATGATATTGGTCCACAAATGCTCCTTGATCATGCCGAGGATTGTCTATGTGATCCCAAACCATAATTGCATCCTTAGCTAGTCACACATGTGATTAACACTTCTTATATCTTCTAGATTTGAAACAACCAAAAAATTGATTCCAGAATGAAAGTGTTCGATTAGTCTCAAAACTACAAAAAAAAATGCACTTTGCGAGGAAATTTGCAATAGATCCCGAATCCCTTGGAAATTTTGTAGTTGTCATTTTCTCAACCTCTGGCATATAATTTCTCTCTTTGTTACAATTAAGAAGTGTGGAGTATGATGAGCATGCAATAACAAATAGTAGAAAAATTATATGGAAAAATAAAATAGATTTTCTCAATCTTATATTATATACTAAACTAGCATAGTTGAAGCATTTAAATAAGGAATTTAAAGTTTTGGCCCATGAGTTTTACTTGAGGCCCACCGGAGTTGGCTTGGTTCAACGGTTTGACCCCCGTAAGCCCAGTTTTTCGCCTAATCTAATATGATCCGTAGATCTTTAGGGTTTCGTTCACAACCATTGGTTGCTAGTATAAATAATGCCCTTACAATTTTTGCCCTTCATGCCGCTCGATCTTTTCTTCCTCTTCCTTCCAACTTTATGCAATTCATTATGTGTTTATTATTCATTGAGCATTGGTTGTGACTTATATGTTGCTCTATGACTCCGATAAGCCTTCTTTGTCTTATTGAATGTTGTGAGGAGTTTTTAGCGTTAGATTTGAAGAAGCACACTTTGTGTTGCATCAAAGAAAATTTTGTTTACGGTGAGATTGTGTTTGCAAACTTTGAGAGAAGCAAAAGTCGTGCACGTATTTATTAATTTTTTTAATCTCAAAATTGAAAATACTTAATAATTGTAATAAAATAACAAATTTTTTAACTATGCACGGCATTAGATACCTTATAATCAACATTGGAAAAATTAATATATACTACTTTGGGCATGTTTATAAATAATTGAATAATATTTTTTGATGAAGTATATTAAACACCCTTTATGTGAAGCTTTTCATTGTAAACCTAATGGTGTATTTATTTCGTTTTCGACACTGTTTCCACCTAAAAAATTCGACAATTAACATTTCGCTTAATGTAAATAGGTTATTCTATAAGATTATAATTTCTATTTTTCCTTTCATGTTGCCTTCTATTCAATTGTTCAAGGCCTACATATTCTAGAACAAACACTAGAGAACATACCAATTAATGGTTGTTTGAATTTTATGACAAGCCTTTATTGATTTTGAGTGTTGTGATCTTAAAATTGAAAATATGAGAAAACAAGAACATCAATTTGGTAATCAAGTTTGATCCAAATGAATCTATGTCTGAAGAATTGTTATCAACCAGAATAAATCCCTATTAATAATGTAAATGATATATTAATAGATCACATATCCAAACAAACCATTCTACACATTTTTAGCATTTATCCTGAAAGTGAACTGACACTAGAGGTCTTGCCCTAACACATAACTCCCATGAATAAAATATTGTTATCTATGTGGGTAATTTATTACATGCGTCGATCAATTAACAACTCAAGAGATCCATAACATAAATAATATATTTTCAGGAACATTCAAACATGAATGATGTGATTTGTTATTGCTGTCATCACAAGTGTTCCATTTGCAATGAAAAAGTTCGCGACAGGACAAGCCCCTTGGTGGTCACATGCACAGGCACTATGAAGGCAATCTCAGCTACGCTTCTAAAACGCAACATATAGATGCTCTTGCGTCAGTCTTTTCTTCGAAGCCCCATTTTAATATTGAATTAAACAAGTCTCCAAAAAGGTCGAAAGCGAAGACGGCCAGGGGAATTAGAAGTTGTTGTGATGCTCCTGTTAGTTTTGGGATTTAATGTGGAGTGATATTGTTTAGAGATTGGTGTGTAATATGATGCATGGTTTTAAGAATTAAATCGTGTTATTCTAGTGCAATATTGTATTTCACCTTTTGTTATTATTCTTATTACTACTTATTAGATTTGAATTTTTTTCTTAATTAACGATTTGATTAACATGGAAAGATATTATATACCTTATATTTGCACATCAATTATCGGGAAAATGGTGTTGGAATTTGGTAAGATAAGAGAGAAAGAACAATAAGCAATGGAATGAATGCTCAATCAATTAACCGAGATGACCGATAAAGATTACAGATTAAAATGAAAATAACTACTTGATAAACTTATTTAAAAGATAAACTAAACGTGAGACTTGCACGTCTCACAACTAACCCCACAAATAACTCCACTAATATAAGACTAAGTCAACTACAATCCGTTCCATAAATTATTCCCATAGTCGTGCGTTTTTTCTATGAATCACATCTCAACTTCAATACTCCCCCTTGATTCATAGTTGGTAATGCTTAACAAAGATCGAAATTCTTCAAACTAAGCTAAGGGTAATGCTTTTGTGAACATATCTGCAAGATTCTTCCTTGATTTACAGAGTACAAGTTGCACTTCTTCATTTGCCACCAACTCTCAAATGACATGATGTTTGAGTTCAATATGCTTTGTCCTTCCATGCATGACTGGATTCTTTGTCATTGCCACAGCAGACTGGTTGTCACAATACATTGAGGTAGGATTTTTCTGCTCTTGCTTTAAATCACATAGTAACCTCCGGAGCCAAACCACTTGGCATGCAGCTGTAGCAGCTGCAATGTACTCTGCCTCAGCCGACGACAGTGCCACTGCCGTTTGCTTCTTTGAAGACCAAGAACTTATATTCGGTCCCAACTTAAGACAATAACCAGATGTGCTTTTTCTGTCCACAAGAGAGCCTCCCCAATCTCTATCAGTGTACCAACTTAAAACAAATTCGTTTGGCAGCACCATAGTGATGTTTAGTTGGATAGTGCATGAATCGAGAAATCAGACCTACAGAAAAAGATAAGTCAGAACGAGTATGAGTTAAATATATTAAACGACCAACAAGACTTCTGAACTTTTTTCCATCTGCCAAATCAGTTCCATCATCTGCTTGAAGCTTTTCACTTGTGTTCATAGGCGTGGCTACACTTTTACTATGTTCCAAGTGAAAGCTTTTCACCAGCTCTGAGGCATATCTTTCTTGAGAGATAAAAATACCTT